CAGACGATACGATTTTTTGGCAATCATACCGATGAATCGTATTATCAAGTTGGGGTTGTGAATAATTTTCGAAAGAGAGTTATTCGAGAAATAAACTCTCATTGTTCCTGTGCGCGACTCGTTAAAGCAGCATTATCAGAATGTGACTGTTTTAAACGAGAAGCCATCCCACGAAGAGTCTCTGTATTGTCGAAGCCTAAGCCGAGACATTTCCACAAAAGAAAATCAGTTGCCCAAGATGATGAATTCCCTGAAGTCACCATCAACGTGGCTGATAAAAGAAAGTCTAAGCGGCATTCAAGTAACTCAAATTCTGACTTTTTCCCGAGAGGAAAAGTCAATCCAAGAATTGCTCAAAGGATGTCTCGACTCCAATTAGAAGCCATCAGACGCAGAGATTACAAAAGAATGCAAGAAGGAATGTCCTCGGAGGATGAATTCTCGGACACATATTCTGCAATCGCTTCTGATGATACAATGTCTAGTACGGGACAAACTAGAGAAGTACTCATGATCACCTCTGATCGATTTGCTCAAATGCTTCAAGAAGCTCTAACGAAGTAACGTGAAGAAATTAGAGCTGAGGTGAAGACAGAGATGGAGTTAGCTATTCAACAAATGAGAGAATTGCTAACTCAACAACCTCAACCTCCTGAGTCCAGTCAGCGAGCTGAATCCAGCAGAGGTGGATGAAGTCATTATGGCTGATACACCTCCCAATGACAATAACACTGGGGGTGGTTCAACAGATCCTCCTAATAACAACATTGGGGGTGGTTTAATTGCACCGCTTAGTAACACAGGGGGTGGTCTAACTCATTCTCCTCAACGTCCTTCGAATGAAGACATAGATGATGATGAGAAAATGAAAGAGCTTGAAAACAAAGTCAATGCTTTGATGACGGCTCAAGAAGTTAAGAAGACGGGTATTCCATGTCTCTATCCAAGGGAATGGGATTTAATACCGTACCCGGTGAAGTTTAATCTGATTAACTTCACACCGTTTGAGGGGAAGAGTTCGCCGATTCAGCACTTGATTTATTTCAAGTCTCATTTGGGCATGATCTCTGGAAATGAGACTTTAATGGTCCGGTCATTCGTTGGCACCCTTCGTGGGCCCGCCTTCGATTGGTACCGACGGCTCAAGCCAGGGAGCATCAATTGCTGGGATGACATAGAAAGTTTGTTCCTCAGCAATTTCTTCGATGATGACACTGAAGTGTCAATCGGAACCCTTCTGGATGAAAAACAAAAAGACGGGGAGTCAGTCGATAATTTTGTCAAACGCTTCCGTAACAAGGCAATGAATTGCAGAGACCCTGTTACAGAGGAGTTCATCCTGCAAACATGCCACAATAATCTCTCCATCGATGTCCTAGAAACCCTGGGGGTCATACCATCCAAAACTTGGAAAGATTTAAAAATACGCGGTGAACAAGCTGAACACTTTCTTAAAAGAAAGAAACTTGAGAGAGGTCAACCGACGACATCTACAATTGCTGTGAACGCGACTCTCGGTCCGAGGTTCCAAAAGGAGTACTCTTTCGAAGATGATGAAGCTCCAGCCATATTGGAATACCTCATCGCTAATGACAAAATTGAGCTGCCACCTATTAAAGATCAGGAGGGAGCTAAAATGATTACAGATCCAAACTACTGTGCATACCACAGAAGGATTCTTCATCCAACCAATATTTGCTTTGGACTCAAAAATAAGATCCAAGCATTAATTGACTCCGGCGTCATAATGGCGAAACAAGCCGATTAAAGACGACCTTACTCCATTGGATACACGAGTATAAACTGTTTCCCCAAACTCCAAAGAGTATACGAGTATAAACTGTTTCTTCATGTCACTCCAAAGAGTATACGAGTATAAACTGCTCCTCGACACTCCAAAGAGTATATGAGTATAAACTGCTTCTCGGTCATCCAACTAAGTACAATGTTAAACCCGGTTTCGCAAAGGAAGCTGGGGGTGGATGATTTATGTAACGGGAAGTTCCTGGAGAATCTTATATTCTTAAGGATAACCCGAACATGCGACTGAGGATAACGTACTCCTCGTTACACCCAGTTTTGCAAAGAAAGCTAAGGATGGATAATTCATGTAACGGGAAGTTCCCGAAAGAATGCTATATGTAATTTTCTTAGGGATAACCCGATCATTACAAACAAAGTGATAAACACTACATCCCCACGGTGATTTTCGAATACTCTTTTGCTGAGATGAGAATTGATCACTTCGTTGGATCTATCTTCCCTCTCAAACTTCTCATTTGGTCAAACCTTTAAACAGTTAGGACCAAATCCAAAATTCCCTCTCGATTCTTTCAATGAATGAGAGGTCCACAAATCGAGCGATCAAACCTTTAAACAGTTAGGATCGTTTCGAATTCTCATTTGGTCAAACCTTTAAACAGTTAGGACCAAAGCCAAAATCCCCTCTCGATTCCTTCCATGAACGAGAGGTTCACAACTCATATTTGGTCAAACCTTTAAACAGTTAGGACCATAACCAAAATCCCCTTTCGATTCATTTCATGAACGAGAGGTTTACTTTTGAATTGAGTAATCAAACCTTATGACAGTCAGGATTATTCAAACCAGTCCAGATTCTCCAAGTGAAGATCCCACTTTGAGTTTCTTTTGCACCAGGAGATAGAATATAAAATTCTTCCTCTCTAATCTCGGGTTTATCTCTACCAACAAACAAGAGACCAGGAGATAGAATATAAAATTCTTCCTCTCCATCATCGGGTTCATCTCTACCAACAAACAAGAGATCAGGAGATAGAATATAAAATTCTTCCTCTCCATCATCGGGTTCATTAATACCAACAAAAAAGAGACCAGAATACTCCAATAGGTACACGAGTCTAAACTGTTTCCCTACCCTCAACAGGAAGTTTCTGGAGAATATCACTCATAATATTCTTAGGGATAACCTGAACCTCCTAACGGGTATATGAGGTTAAACTATTTCCCGAACACTCCAATAATATTCTTAGGGATAACCTGAACCTCCTAACGGGTATATGAGGTTAAACTATTTCCCGAACACTCCAATGGAACATACGAGTATAAACTATTTCTCCATTCTTCGACGGCAGTTCAAATTCAAGACTTCGACAACGGCCACGCGATAAATGCAACACCGGAGGGATTTTAGCTATTCTACAAAGCACTGAATAAGCTAAAAGATGAAGAAGTCAAGGATTGAAGCCATCCATAGAATATGTTACGCAACTTCCTCAACAAAGTACTGAAGAAATTGCAAAGAAAACTTATCATATCCAAAGTGTCGCAAGGAAAACTTATCATATCCAAAGTGTCCCAGACTCCTCTTCAAAATGATGAGTCTGTGATACTTTGGAGGGTGTATCTGTAGACGTCAAAAAATGCTTACAGACATCCAAATACCACGCAAGACAAAGAGAAGGTGATAAACATCAGTATCTAAGTCATGGGAGATCATACAAGCCCAAAGGAAGCAAAAGGATCTATGAATCAACACAAAACAATGTGAATTCACAGAACAATGCAAACTACAGCATATGGGCGCGGCAGCTCATGGTGCCGCGGCTACAGCGCGGCAGCTCATAGTGCCGCGGCTAAGACGCGGCAGTTCATAGTGCCGCGGCTTGGGCGCGGCAATCCATGGTGCCGCGGCTACTATAGGGGATGCTACAGCGGTTACGAGGTAGTTATGTGATGATTATGTGAAGTCTACGTGGCGGCGTATCAGAAATAGAACGTGTGCTGACGTGGACAAGCAGTTAAACCACGAAAAAGGTGGTTAAAAGTCGTGGGAGGACAGTTTCAAGCACGATGGAACGTGCTGGTAACTGCCCCTGTGGCCGCTGCAGTTCATGCTGCCGCGCCAATAGCCGCTGCAGTCCGGGATGTCGCGGTCAAAGGGATAGTCGTTGATCGGCTATTTCTTCAGTTATTGTCCAAGGAGGCTATAAATACCCCCCTATGGACATCATTGACGGGGGGCTGAGCATTTTCCAGAGAGATTAGAGCAGAGAGCCTTGAGTTTTGGTGAATTAGAGCAAGAGAGAGAGTCTTCCTTCTTCACAAACATCCTCAAGAAGCTTCTAGCGAGTCCTAGAGATCTAAGCTCAGACTTGATCTTTGGAAGAGTGAACATCTTACATCGATAAGATATTCGCTTCAAATTCTTACTTCGATAAACGAAGGAAGAATCATTAAACCCCTCACGGTTCAATCAGAATCTGTGATTTGGTGGTCCACGAGTCAAAGCGCTCCCGGCACAGGCAAAGATCCCACGCAAGCAGCGATCCAAACAACGGTCCTGCGTTTGTTTCTCAAGAGTTGTAATTTTCCTTTTGTTGTGTAAAAGAAGTCTTATAAAAAGACTATTTCTTTTGAATTTATTGTAATCGACAATTAAAATAATAATAATGTAATATAATATTATAATGTTTTAAATAATTTTTATTAAAACATAAAACTACATGTATTTTTAAGATTATTTAATATAAAAAAATATGTATTTATTTTCCTCATTTTACTGTCTAAGAGACTTCATACCATAAAATGGATATATTTATGTGCAACACATGTACACTATACTAAACATACATTACAATTATCTCTATATACTATACTATAATACATTACAATTATCACTATATAATATACTATAACATGTTATAACAGAAAAATGTAATGATTTCCATTTATTTATAAACTATAACATAACATCACATGTAACACATGTATTGCATACCAATTTTATAAAGAATATCATCATGGAATCTACTGAATGATGAAAAGATATTGGTGGATTGTAGGGATTGTCTGCAATTGAGGATCTAGACGATCCTTCCCCGTCAAAATCACCTGTGTTGTCTTCATGCTAGGAATAAGAGCAGTGACAACTTTATACAAGAGAGTTTATACTATCATTACTACATAGAAATAAAATGAAACATTTTCTTGTAAACTGCACTTTTGATTAATTCTTAACTTCGCACACGACACCAATATTTGATAAAAATTCTGATGAAGACAGAGTAGTACCATGACATAACTACGTCTACTGCTCAAACTCCCTACAAAGAACTCCAACCTAAACGCTAACTCAAAAGAAGAAGAAAAGGAAAAAAGATAAAATCCCTAAATAGACGAAAAACCTTTATCTAATTAATTGATGAAAAGAAGAAAATAACATCTATTCAAACTTTTGTCACACACGAACTTCTGGTGATCATTCAGATTCTTCTTTAGGAGCTTCTAAAAGCTTTGGGTACGAAGAAGGGGAAGCTTGCATCCTCGACGTCGTACCGCTGTCAATGTAAACACCAATTGATTGGAGATAAAATCCATCCGAATAGCCGTGGAAACCTCTGATACGATTGCCAGAAGCACTAAACGAAAATTGAGTAGTACCACGACCAAAAGCAGTAACACTACCGGAAGCATAACCATAAGGTCCATGGCGTACGCCACCCGCATCGAACACGAGAGACTGTACGTGAGCCGGCCTGCCCGATATCATCGAGTATGATCCGGATACTGATGTTATAGGACCTGTTATTTGTATCTGAAACAAAACATGAAACATAATGTGAATTTTCAGAATATCTAATGTTTAATGAATTCCGTTATTCACATCCGAAGTCCGAACGAGCCCTATTGGGCAAAATACGTAAGATTGCTCCGTAATCAATGAACGGAATAAAAGTGCAAGTATCTTTTATCGG